CGCTTCATTAAACGATGCGTGGTTGTAGATCTTTCGTAATGATGTTTTTAGACCTATTACGGTAACCATAGGAATGGGGCGACTTAATATTCGACTAACTGTGAACGAGAATATATTCCTCTGAACAGACTAGTAATGTTACCGACGGGTGGAGATAAGTTAACCAGTAGTTGGGACTATTCCACTGATTGGTTATCCTGGCCACGGAGTTTATGTAGGGTTGATTTAGGTTCTATCGCCGTCACCTTCCTATCACGGTTCCATTTGGGGATAGTCATCGTTGACATCTTTACCATTGTTCGATATTGTCTTAACCGACTTCTCCACTGCCTATCAAGGAATTACCTGGTACAGCGTTGCATAAAATCCGGATATGTCGATTCCAGCACAGCTAAATATACAGGATTATTTAAATGTATGAATTTGTCTTGCTACTAGTTCTAAAGCATATGGCGGCCTGCTCTTACAAATAAATCCAGAAAAATGGTTATTATCGTAATTGTTCAAGGGAATAGCGAAGGTCGGACGTAACAAGGCGATCCAAAAGATCCCGTCGTTTAATTGTCTTCGTTTAATTGTCTTCAAACAACCATAGCCCTTGTAGTGATTCCGTGTTAGAATATGTCCCTGGCAACCTATGCTTGTCGTAAGAGGCGATTAAATGGATAGGATGGTCTGGCGTATCATCGTATCCCGACTGCATGGGACGTTTATTATGATATCACTGGAGTGTCGGGTCCAGACCTGATTACCTACAGGCCACCGTTATAGAACTGGAATATTGCGGGTGGAGTGCGGCGTTTAACAACAAACCAACAGCCATAGCTTCAATATCGCTCTCGGGAACTGGGCCGGGAGTGATCTCTGATTTGTTAATAATTCGTTTCTGCTGCACATCAAAGACCACGCCGTTTCTATTACAGATCGTTGGATCGTGACCATAACGTAACATTTGTATGACAAAGTTACATTTGCACTCACATGAGAATCAAACGTGATCTTTTTTACGCAGGATCGCATTATTAATTTCACCATTACGACAGATCATTAGAGTAGATAGTATCAAATATGTTTGTCTGTACCTCCACGGGGAGATATAGAGCTTCTGTTTCCGTCTGCATTGCCGACCTCTGAACACACAATACATTGCACCGATTAGTTTATCCACGGAAAGTGATCTCATACAGTGCAATGTACGTTATATTGCCATTACCTGATGCGACAGAATTACTGACGCCATAAGAGTAGGGTCACCCTTGTAATGATGTATGGTCCTTCAGATTCAGTGGGATCAGACAGGCTCTCGGTGCCTGGACTCGAAGAACAAACACGATTTACTGGAACCCTTTGTTGGTCGTCATATTTACCATGACAACGGTCAGTAGCATTCAGGGATCACAGTTGATGTCCTAGATTTAGTATCGTTTTCTAAAGAGTAAGGTTATCAATGGGTGACTCTGCAGCAGATAAGGTAATATCCCCGTCTCGGCGTAGCTACGAGCGCTAATGTGTAATCTTTAAGGAAGAGATAGTTGTGTCAGATATCAGAGGCCACAAATGGTTGTTTACGGTCAACCGAATACTGTAAAATATAGTCTTTGAATAGATGTACACTAACTTGAAGTGTCGTTTTGAAATTGTAGTATAATTAATGACATGATTTCAACATTTCGGTACCGATTCTAGTAGACGTTAACTTCTGAATTACTCACACACCAAATAGCAAATTCTTGACTTGAAAATCATAGGTAAATCCTTTCTTCATTAGAACGTGAACACAGATACAGGGGTGACTATTGGTCAGGAAATCCCTATTGCGATAACTATAGATATTGAAAGAAACTATTGCTATAACTATCGATATTGCAAGCAACTATTGCGATACATATCGATAGTTTTCAGTGTATCATTTTAGATGGATTTTAGAGTTGAATTAAATCTTGGAACTGAAGTTTCCTTTTAAAGTGATAACCATAACAACAAATAAAAAGTAAAGTTTGAGATATGACTGATTTGTTTTTTTCTTTACCCCAATGATTTAAAAAAAAGAAAAAATTATGTAAATTATGACCACGCATGATAAAAAGAAAAACAGCATTGCATGTATTTTATTGATATGGTAAATGCAATCGAAACTATCGATATTCCCAACTGAAATCGACACTATTGATCGGAAACTGATTTAACAATCGGTTTATTGACTTTCAGTGCTTACCAATAGCAATATATCGATATTTCGATTATCGGGACACCCCTTCAATGATTTATAGACAAACTGAGGTGAAAATATCTTCACATCTGACAACACCTCAATAGAAGGTTGCGTCAGGTTAGCCTTGAGGGAACATTGGCCGCCCAATATAACCGCATGCATGGGTTCTTGGCACAATCAGATGTCAGCTTTCTTTACCAACTCGATTTTGAAAGAAATGATTAAAAAAAAATGAAAACCGGCACAAAACACGGACACGACAGGGGGTATAAAATACCCACAACGGTGTAATGAAACGGCCTTTATCGTTTACATTCGGGCCAGGCTGATTATCTTTGTTTTCGAGATACAGAAATCAGATATGTTGGTCTAAATGTTTCCCTCATTCATTCCGAAAATTTGGAACTCTGTCAAAGCTTTGCGGTGTCTGACTGATGAGAACGTTCACCTGACATGACCACCTTTGAGGTGTGTTAGTCAGATCTTTACTCAGAGAGGTATTCGTATCGGAGTAATATGTCTGAAGGGAAAACGCGAGGTATATTTTAGACGACGACACATATACTACTGATAAAAAGGAAAATACGAATTCAAAGAGTTTTAAAATGAACTTGTTCAAAGCTAAAAATACACGAAATGCTTTATGGGTATATATATCGTTGATTGATTATCCTCTTCTAGATAGTGAAAAATGAATTGAAAAAAATCCAAAAGTGCCATTGCAAGTACCACTCACGCAGTCTCATCTATCGTGGAGCTAGTATATGTTTCTCGAAAAACATGTTTAATGTTATTCCTTGTACACGTGTATTTTCATGTGCAGGGCATTCTGTAATGTAATGGCAAAGGTAAACCATTTCATCACATTAAGCCATGCATTCTATTTTGTTGAAGTTTACGGATATTTTTCAGAAATCTTTTTAGGGTCCGTCATAAAACAATATAAAACAACATCATCCTGTTTTCTTTCTTAGTTTTCTTATCACTCGGGAATCAAAACATGTTTTAAATGTCATCTTTATTTACCAGTTTTTCGTGCTGTCGGCGAACCCTGTGTTTATAAAAGAGTCGCAATGTTAGCCTTGCCATGATACTTTTGTAAGCTAGAATTGAAGGGAATTGTCTGATATCTGAGTGATGTGTATGCTATTATTCTAACTTAACTGACATTGTTTGAATTGGGAAAACCAAATACCCTTATTCGGCCATTCGAACAAGCATTTAATAAAACCATACCAACACCACACTAATGTTTGTTGACGCAAAAACCAGTTACATTTAACCGTCGGGTCCGTATAAAACCAACCATTATGGTACAGGAGTCCTAAAACAATCGTCCATTTCGATCACAAACGTTAAGTCCAACAGTGTTTGCATAACCGCATACCAAACCAACCACGGTACAAAGTATATTGATACGATATTGTATCCAGAAACGTGTAGATACCTGTAGAACCATGCATGCACCGACCACCTACACAACGTACCAGCGACACTCATTGCCAACGATTACCGCTCATTACCTCAACAGTTACTGTTTCTGTCGATGTTTCTGCTTCTCAACAAGAGGATCTGGCATATATATAGCACCTTGATAGCTGTCAGTGTCTACCATTAGGGCACGTTTATACTTTTTTATTGCATGAGGCAAAAATTGCTGCTTTAATAGTGTCCGTACAGGCAGTAATTTGGAGTGTTAGCATTTAATGACATTTGGGTCGTGGATTCCAGTAGATCAATTTCGATATGCAGTTTTCTAATTATGCTTTGTGTGATATATTCACGTATTTTATTTGTTTGATAAAATAATGTCCAGTTAATATTTCATTTTTTGTCTAAATTGTTTTTCAAACAAAGCACTCAGTCCCAGAGTCATGTTAGAGTGAGTGAGTGAGTGAGTGAGTATGGTTTTACGCCGCTTTTAGCAATATTCCAGCAACATCACGGCGGGGGACACCAGAAATGGGCTTCTCACATTTTACCCATGTCGGGAATCAAACCCGGGTCTTCGACGTGACGAGCGAACGCTTTAACCACTAGGCTACCCGACCGCGCGTCATGTTAGAGAACCAAAACATTAATAAACAATTGCGCCGCATATAACACTACTGTAATAACTGAAGTAACGATACGCTTGTTGTAATGTAGGCCCAAGGTTATGCGGGTCCAGCCAGGCATTTACCATTGTTATTATGAACCCATATTGAACAGTATTTACATGCGGATATTGAGATATATTTGAAATGAGGTTAGGTCTGTCAATATTCAAGTTTAATATTCATATTCAATATTCAAGTTGGTGTCATCTCCGATTGTCGGTGATATACTTTCATATGATATTCACCACTATTTACCTTTTACACCCAGTCAAATCTGTTTCGGCCTATGATAGACACTGGCTATTCTCTATCGTTGATGTTTTATGTATAATCACGCTAACAATTGATGCTGATTGGTACAATTCAAGAACAAATATCATTGGTCTGTCAGCACCCTATACGTGGTCGTGGATTTCACCAAAGTTTCAAAGATCTAAGATATGCATCACTTTTCTCCCGCATTAAGTTGACACGCCGTGATATAACTGAATACTTCTTTAAAGCGGGGTTAAACATGGCTCACTCAGTCATTGCGGACTAATCGACCACAATAACTCCGCCATAGAGGACAATTAACATTGATGCAAAATCCAACTGACTCCAATGTCTGACGTGAGATAAACAAAACCATCACATGCAGCTGCATCCTTCTATTGCAGCGATCCACTTCGGACCGAGGTAACATCAGCGTCAACCAACGTGCCAGCGGCTCTTATGAGTGGTAAACATTGTATGCTAATTAGGGAAATGGTCCGTCCTGTTCCGTCGCTCTGCATAATATAAGAGACAGTTTGAACTGTTCTCAAGTGCTGCATGTATCCCTGATAGGCTGCCTGATGACTATAAACCTATCCTGTAGGGTCGCCTGGTGCGGAGAGCGAGATAAGCGATGTGATGTCAGAGTGTCTGGACACTGGCTCATATACAAGGTACTGTACGTTCCTTTCTGTCTTTTTCAACATCAGAGGTAGAATGTTCAAATTGATATATAAACCCAAACAGTCTTATTTTTTATCGTTGGTTGATTTTCTAGATCACAAACTTGGTTTGTTGGTGTTTCCTTGCGTTTGAAGTTATAAACTTATTTCGCATAACGCCGGCTGACAAATAGGCTATATCGTTACTAAAAATGTTTTATATAACACAACCTTTAATTCAACCTATGTGAATCATTAATAAAACACGAGTACTGTTTTAGAACAAATGTTCTAAAAGTACGAAAAGTTGGCTTCAGGATAAACGAGATTTGAATAGCTATCGCTGTATTATTGTTTTCATTTTTAGAGAACAGGGACACAAAATGGATAATTGTCTATAATTTGGATATTTGCATCCATTGATTTTTGTGAAAAAAGGTTATTTATTCCAGAACAAAATGGAAAAAAAGATTTGCCTCAGATCCTTCAAAAAATGAAATTGTTCTCTGAACATGCTTGATCACCTAAAAATGTTCAAAAACAATGGGGCCAAAATGATCATTTCTCAGAGAAAGAACCCGTGACATAATTTGTGAGTTGACGTCACGTAACGTTGTTACATTCTATCCGATTTTACTCTATGTTCATACTTTTTTCATTCATTGATAATTTGAACCCGCAATCAGTGAGTGAGTGAGTGAGTTGGGTTTAACGCCGCTTTTAACAGTATTCCAGTCATATCGCGACGTGTCAGCTTAATGTGGGAGGAAATCCCGAAGTGATGCAGGTTTCAGACGTTTACCACTTCGGTGAAACCCACGAGCAAGGTGCTGACAAACCGAGAAACATAATTGGGGCGAACCGGGATTCGAACCCACAATCATCGGTTTCTAGCGTGCCCAAGGGACGCAACTGTGCACAAAGAATCGCTGCGCCTTAGACGACTGGGCCACCCGTGCCCCTGAACCCGCAATCATACATTAATACTATTTCTACCTTCTTAATTATATTTCTTTCCTGCTTGCGAAATAACATTATATTAATATTCTCGTCAGAAACATATTAATGTTCAAAGAAAGAGTGTAATTACAGCCCGATATTTGCACATGATCATTTCAGCGATTCTTAATGGCGATTGACCAATTGAAGCGACATGACATGATCTATTTTTGAGGTCAATGAGATTCATACAAATGCCGATTGCAAAGAGACACCGTAATTTGAAACATTACGTCTTATTTTTGGTTTTAAAAACAGCGTGTGTTTATGACAGTTACATGTACGATGTCTTTCTGTTGTGGTTTATGTTAAGATAACTTCTTTATACATAACGTATATGAAATACATTTCCAAATGACTCCAATACTGATCTCATTCAATACTCGCCCTTCGTATAATTTGGTTGACTTAAATACTTCCCTTGAGATTTGCAAAACGATTTACTGAAATCATTTTTTTAATACTTTGCATGTCGTTATGTTTTTAGTGATTAACTCGCGATATTGTCAATATTGTTTCAATATAGTTTTCCGAAGAGATACACTAATATCATTTGTTTAGGTGACTTTCTGTCTTTCTGACTTCAAACGCGTCATTTCACGCAGATCAACGACATATCGGCTTCAGCATGTATATTTCTCTATGCAAGATACAAACTCGGAATATACGGAATCTATAACATAACAATTGCATCATGAAATGGTAATTCTTTTTGTCTTTTTGGGGATACCAATTGATCCGTACTTCATGAAACTGTTTTGTTTTCGTAATCAGCTTAATGAACCCATTCTGGCGCTATATTTATATAGTTTATTTCTAAACTTTCTTTAATGTACATCTACATTCTATTACAGTCCTGTCGTCTAAGGTGCCGCAGTTCGCGTCCGCGGTACCGAGACTTGCTGGGTTAAACGCTCTTATTATTATCAGAAAAACATCAAACGTGTTAGCATGCAACTCAAAGGACCATGTGTTACATGACCACGTGGTGCACCTCCATATCAGAGTTGCCCGCAGATGTCCACTGACATGGTCAACATGTGCCCGGTGACATCATTCAGGGGCTTTTAACGATCCCTAATCGACCATAAAAGTACACTCAGATTGCATGCTTGACATGGTATATTGATAAAAGATTATTATTAATTGTACTGTGAACCTTCACCGCGGCGACATCTCGTACTGAAAATAGTGATGACGTTGAAAAGCGAGATGACGCTTTTAACAGTATTCCAGTTATATCACGGCGTGTCAGCTTAATGTGGGAGGAAAGCCCGAAGTGATGCAGGTCTCAGACGTTTACCACTTCGGTGAAACCCACGAGCACGGGTATGGTGCTGACAAACCTAGAAACATAATCGGGGTGAACCGGGATTCGAACCCACAATCATAGGTTTCTGGCGTGCCCAAGGGACGCAACTCTGCACAGCGAATCGCGGCGCCTTAGACGACTGGGCCACCCGTGCCCCCGACCGAGAGAGAGAGAGAGAGAGCGAGAGAGAGAGAGAGAGAGAGAGAGAGAGAGAGAGAAAGAGAGAGAGAGAGAGAGAGAGAGAGAGAGAGGGAGAGAGAGAGATGTTTCAGCAGATAGTTTCAGAGATACAGTAAACTACGATTATAACGAACACGCTTATAACGAACTTACGGATATAACGAACTAACTTTTTAGTCCCGACTATATGCTGTAGTTATGCAGTATATATGCTTATAACGAATTACGGTTATAACGAACTAAAATTAGTGATCCCTTTGAGTTCGTTATAACCGTAGTATACTGTAGTTGCAATTGTGAAAGCCAATAGCTACTAGCCGTAGTGTTGCTGGACTATAGCTACAAACTCTCTAACCCTTCAATTTAATTATTATTATTATTATTATTATTATTATTATTATTGTTATTATTTGTAGGATAGTAGATAACCGCCCACTTAAATTTCAAATGTGTTATGCAGCAGATCAGACTACATGTACTGTTTATTTTCAGGATTAAAGATGTATGCGACAACCATCCTCCTGCAGCTGGCTGTGGTGTTATCTACACATGCCCAGACATTACCGGAAGTCGACCTTGATCCGTATTCTCTCAACACCACTGAGTACCTTGTTCAGTACTGCAATGTCTACTGTGATGGAACCGAGAAGAAGCAGTTCAGTCGCCTAAATTTCCAAATGAATCCCTGGTGCTTGGAGTGCAGATGTGATGCCCAGTGTCAAATATACGGAGACTGTTGTCCAGATGAAAATGGCACAATTAGTCGTGATCCGAACCCTCCAACATGCCTCTTTAGTGAGAATGACCTTGACATTCAATCAAAATTGGGGTTTGGGGTTTTCATGGTTACAGAGTGTCCGGATCGAGCGGTTACTGACAACGTCTTCTCACCTGTATACTCTGTGTCGAGAAATATGTCGTTCTTTAACAAGGAAGTTGCCGAATGTAATGATGTTACAGACTATCATTCATGGATTATGGAACTGGACTGTACTTCCGGTTACGGGAGCGGTGGCAGCGAAGCGGACGACATTGGGCTATCAGATGGTTTCTATGACAATGAAGAAGACTGCAGCCAAGTATATAGCGCTACCACAAGCAATAATCCAAGAATATGTGATCCAATGTTGGCGGCGCAAACGCAAGTCATGGTTTGTAACGTATCTGGACTATGGGAAAACTATGTAGAGGAGGTAGAAACTGCCTGCCTGGCCCATAATTACCCAGTTTCCTACAAGAATGACGTATACCGAAATGTATTCTGTGCTGTGTGTAATGGAATTAAACCTGGTCGCACTGTCAAGTATGATCTGACAGGTCTCCGTCTCCCGCCACCAATAACTGTTATCACACAGTTTCTCAGGCCACATGAAGATACAGATAAACAACCTGAATTCAAATCTACAGAATGTGGGGACGACGAATGGCTGCATTTCATGAAGGTATGTATCACTGTTACCAAAACAGGGGTGGTAGGGTAGTCTAGTGATTAAAGTTTTCGCTCGTCACGCCGAAGACCTGTTTTCTACACCCCAGATGGATACAGTGACTTCAACTGTGATATTGCTGGAATATTGCTGAAAGCGGCGTAAAACCATACTCACTCACTGTTACCAAAACAAGTTAATACACACTCATGTGTAGCCCTTGTCTTCAAAGATAATTTTGTGAAGGTGAGCTTTAATAAGGGGTGAAAAACTACTATTTTCAGCATTGACAATACAAGTCTACATATTTGAAATGAACATATAGGCATTTAGAAGAAAAATACACGCCACTTCCGAACTTTTTAAACCAACAACATTTAATAGATTAGTGTGTTAGACAGTGCCCGGATAGTCGTTATCAATGGTAGCTTTAGTGACATGAATGAAAGCATGAAAGGAATATTGTTTCATTGATTGAACGACGAATACACTATTAGCAGTTATCATTTTGCGTTAACCGAAAACTATTTATGAGAGGCAAATATATCAACATATCATTTTGACATGGCTTTCAGAATTTCAAAATTACAGTTAAGTAAATGTATTTCATGTATTTGCTAGGGAGGTGGGTATATTTAGGATTGGCTTAAAAAAATGACTAACTTAACATCGATGTCACACAGTAACATTTGAATGTATGAATATTACTGCACAGTTTGTTATTTACACGCAGGACAAGTGTATTCCCGTGTACTGTTCGCCAGGCAAGAGCCTTGTTGACGGAAACTGTATTTGGGCAGAGGATATCGCCATGAACGACGAATACGAATTCAACGTCATCTTGAAGCCTCAAAACGAAATCGCCATTGAAGCCATAGCTCACTGGAATACCGTGCAGCAGATGTTCTTGAAAAACTTCAAACAATTCATGTTCAAATTTCGAACGTCGAGTTACGTTTTTTCGGTGGGATTGTTGGAAGATATGACCAGTTTGCAAGAAAACCAGGATGAACTAGGTTTCCCGAGAGCAGTCATTATCAAATGTAATTTTATTGTCACTCAACAAATGAACAGAACGGAGCTGGAAACAAAACTCTACAACTTTGTGACAGAAATGTGGATAGTACCATTTGACGACAATGATCATGTATTCACTCCAAGCTTTAACAATATACCTCTTTCAAGAGTGAAACTAAAAGCCAGGTATTGGGCTGATCCCGTGTCAGGCCATTGCTGTGTTCCTGTGGCGGACACATTCAACCTGAAGCAGGCCAGTGGTATTATTTCCTCACGTGTTATACAAGTAACTAATGAACTGTTTTGTCCTCACGTAAAGCTGCGAAAGAGTGAATATGAAGCTGATGCTAGTGGCTGGATTACTCTTGATAGCGCTAACATCTCCATCTCTTCAAGTGACTTTTCAATCGATGACAAAAAGAGGGCCAGGGTATGTGTTGAGGTACTAAATGACATTTATAACGGTTCGTACAAAAACAGAAGTAATATACCTCTCATTCCCACGTCTGTTTTTGTAAAACAAATTTTGTCTCTCGTCTGCGTTTCCGTATCCTTAATTTGCTTGGCCTTGACCTTCATAACTTACTGTGTATTCCCACCCCTCAGATCGTTGCCCGCAAAAAATAACATGTTCCTCATCGTGTGCCTCTTTCTAGCCCAGTTACTCTTCCAGTTCGGCATAGATAGGACTGAGAACAACATTGTGTGTACAATTATTGGTGTGCTCATTCATTTCCTGTGGCTTTGTGTTATATTCTGGATGAACGTTTGTTCATTCCACATGCTACGTGTGTTCGCTGTGCAGAACATCATCCCCCAAAGTAGAACAAGACATGTCAAGGCATTGCTCAAATACTCTGTGTATGCTTTCGGCAGTGCTGCTTTGGTGGTAGCAATCACAATAACGGTCAGTTCCGTTTTATCAGGTGGAAGCGACGTGGGTTATGGGGGTATCGTATGTTACCTCACGTCCAACAAACTCGTTGGATTTTCCTTTGTATTGCCACTCAGTGTCATTGTGATGATGAACCTCACATTCTTCATTGTAACAATTCGTGCAATATCTAAAATAGATAATATCAAGAAACATGGAATGAAGGAGCGCCATAATGTGTATGTTTATATCAAACTGTCCTCCCTCACTGGGATGTTCTGGATTGTGGCCATCCTAGCTGAAGTGTTTCAGCAGGACGTTCTCATATACATCTCCATAATCCTGAACGGCTCTCTGGGAGTTCTTCTGTTTATATGTTACATTGCCAACAAAAGGGTCTACGATCTTTGGAAGGGACTCTGTGACAAACTGAGACCAAAGCGTCCGTTGGATGACAGTCGGAATGCTACTGTGAGCACTAGCATTTGAGAAAGACATAGTGTGGTAGTCCTGAAAGAACATGTCGTCCACGAAGTCATTCTTAGCTTTATTTGGACGATGACTTATGAGCAGTACACCTTAATATCGATAAAGCTATTGAAATCTGTGATATTAAGTGGTACGACTTTTACTTCGCAGACTTATATCAAAACAGACACATGTATTAAACAAGTATTGCATGTGTATGGGACTGTGTGTGGAGGACGTTTCTCTGCAACCCTGTGAACTCAATTACCACCGGACATTGCATCCCAGGATTAATAGTTTCAGGTGTTAAAAACCAGTGTTTAATGTACGACTACATTCGATACTTGGAAATGTTGCGACACTGCTGCTTCTGAGGAATTTCTGTCACATGGGAACTGATGTGTTCCCCTTGCTGATGTTAGTACAATGCTTTAGTACATCCTTCTTATAATAAACACATTTCCACTCACATCTGTCTTTGACCTGACGATACAATTCCCTATTGGGCTATTTTCTTATGTTTGTTCAGGTGAACACTTGGCATGCCTTTGCATGTATTTGTGACGAGGGCAGGATACGCCCACTTTTCGAGAGCACCTGTATCAACACTATTTGATAGTGAAAAGTAAAAACATGCTTATGGTATTATCGGAATCGTTCAAAAGACTCTGCTGAACGCAGACATTTCTTGTGATGATGGAAAGGGTTTTGTCACTTCTTTTTACGAAAGCGGCATTGAATAATATTTAATGTGTATTGAATACATTAATGAACTATCATTAGCAATAGAATTCGCCAGGGTGTACTCGCATCATGTGTAAATTAAATGAAAAGGGATAACTGAAACATAGACACTTGATGCATTCATTTGGCAGCATGTCATTTACAAACATTTGATGATCAAAGAAAACGATGATGACTGTGTTGTCATGAATATCCAAGAGATGACTTTTCGCGAACACCTAATGTCATCACTGGTTTTCCGCTATTTTGCCTTTTACGCTCAATGGAATCTGTTACGTCGGATAATCGAGACTGGTTATTCTCTGGCGTTGAAGTTTTGTTTGCAAGAAAGGGGACAAAGATATAATGATCCTGATTAGTAGTCTAAGCTTGTCTCTGTCTACCACACTTTCAAAGTAACGTTTAGCTCGAAGCCAAGTCACCGGCCTTTGGTTCTGAAGGAGTAGGATTGTTTGGTTCCATGGATCTTTACATCCTGAAGCTGAATATGACGAACTAATCATATTTCGTGACCATACATTAATTCCTGGTCGGATTATACCAATTACATTAATAACAATTTAAACTACAATGTCATAACTGAATGTTTCATCTGTTGAGTCACAATGTACGATAGTCAATGTCAATAATGAACACAGGTATAAATGCAATCTTGGGCCCTACCCTTTGTATAATGCACCGATCTGGCATTTGAAATAGAAAGTTTGGCTTGATGCATTCTCGCAAAAACAACCTCAGTAGAACAGTAGAACCCGGGGTTCTCCAAGCCCGCGCTTTTATATAACTTGACCAAATGTTCTTGATTCAAAACATCAGAGAATAATCAGTCCCGATTATCGGTCGAAACAGATTCCATAGCGCGTGAAAGGCAAAATAGTGATAGTGATTTTCTGTGAATCACAGAAAATCAGTGGCGACATAAGGTGTTCGCGCAAAGGGTTAGCATGTCTACCGGTAGCAGCCGCCACTCACAGTTTCCATAAAAAATGTAAATGTTTACTTGTTGCCTGACAATATTTGTCTTTAAAAGAAATATTTAATACTTCCATTGTATATTATTAAAGGTCTCGTTAATCTGAATACAAAATGAAACAGAAAAAAGGCAAATCACGCTGGGCTTATATTGTTAATCGAATCATATATAGCCAATTGGAAAGAATATATTACAATTTCTTTCTGATGGGAATATGATTAACGTCGGTGGAGGAAGATTATTTTAAAGTTATACACCGGTACAGAAGGCACTGTTACAACCCTCTTACTCTTAATGTAAAACATTTTACATTAAGGGTTGCGGGTTAACTCTTTTTACAACCCTTAATGTAAAAATTACTCTTAATGTAAACATATTATGCTGACATAAGCTAAATTTCGACCAATCAGATGCCTCGGTTATATTGCCATGATGGTAAATCTCTGATTATCAATTAATCAGCTCTGCAGATGCCCTTTCCGTTACCATGGAAGCAAGGTAGTAACGTAAATAACGTCATATTGTATAGTGTCCCTAGATGCACCTTTGTAACAAGATTTAAGGAATCGTCAGTTATGACCCAAAAAGAAAACCTGTAAATAACGACCAGGTTGTCGTTGTTGAGAGGTTGTTGGAATATGAAAGGTGTACTGCACTTACACAAGTTCAATGGCTCTACTTTGTGTTGTTCCTGAATAAACGCGCACAGTTGAAGGAAGCTGTTACGAATAATAAGACTTCACTTTATTCAGTACTTGTAGGCCACGGGACTTTATGTACAAACGAAATACAATTTAGGTGCAAACAATATAAAATACAAAACATTCCTTTGCATTTTATTTTTGAAAAAGCAGTTTTAACATTATTGCATATTATCAAAGTTGTAGTATTTGTGTTCTTACAGCATTGGCGTAAAAACAAGTACTTTTCTGTATTCATATTGATAATAGGGTCTTGCGATGACAGTAGTGTATAAATCTTCAGAATATTTGGAAAGATGTAAAAACTTTGCCTCAGATGGCTATAACATAGAAAAATTAAAAAAAGTGATATTCATTTTCGATATGGTTTAGGTTACAAACTTTACATTTTCTAAATTCACGAGGGCTATTGAACTGAACCCAAAACGAGTCCTGATTTTATTTACAGTTATACTACTTAAACAGTTCTCACATGAAATGGATGTTTTAAACTGTGCATAATAAGCTATTTGGGGTTTTTCGCTTAAATTACCATGCCAAACCTGAAAAAAGGTTTTAACTGCTGACGTAACATACTTAAAAACGCGGTTTTATTACCACATGTTTGAAAGTACCAGACATCACCAAATCCTAATCTAAAAGTAACAGATTTAAGTTTCGTTATCCAATTTACGTGGCCTTGTTCATCGTACAACTGCAGCATATTGTAACATTTTTGGGGTATACGAAATTCCTGCATATTATAAAGAGACAGCCAATATTTGACACATTTCAAAACAGCGAGCGACTGAATAGAAAATCTGCCAGACTCGGTTCTATGTCATTGAACCCCCAAATTCAAGCCCCGTATAAAAGTATTGGCGTTATCTTTGTATCAAAACATTTTAAGTAAAAGTGAGGCTAGTATGGTTTCAAGGAATGTATACTAATTAACAGGACCATGAACACCTTTCTTGCTTCAATTGGAATATTATTTAAGCGTTTATAAAAAAAATGAAACAAAAAGGGACAAAGCATACACCCTTGACTCACACCCATGAAGTGAGTGAGTGAGTGAGTGAGTTAATATTTAAAGTCACATCGGCAATATTTCAGCCATATCGTGATTAAAGCGATTAATACATTAAGGAAACATTAATTTAGACTATATAAAAACCCGTCAGCAAAGGACAGTAAAATTACCAGACTTATCACAGATATTAATTTTTAAAACTAGTATGTGACCATAAAAAGCTATTACTAAACAGAACAATAAATTGGAAAAACGGGCTATAGATGGACAGCAATTGAATGTAGTTCACCTTACTAGGGACCATGGGGACTTATAGTACATTTGCTACCTACATGGACCCCAGCAGGATTTACACCATCCCTTCAGTCGCTGGCGATTGTATGCAAGTTTAGCCATTGATTCAAACTAACATATATACTACGATTAAAATCGTGGTAGGCCTAAATGTACTTCGAGTGATGTGGAACTTACGTATCCTCTCTGGGGGACAATAATTTTACAGTGCTTTAACCCCCTTCGAGGATACAGCCACTGACAATCTCAGTTGCTTATTTAATCTACCAAATTTAAAACAACATTTATTTATTTTGCTTAACAGATTAATAAAAAATGTTCAAACAATTCTATCCTTTTAAAAAACCAATGATTAAAAGAGAACAAATATTATTAAAAAGATCCTTGACAGATGAAGATTTGAAATACTTATCCTTTGTAATGGCAAAATCAACACAGTCAAGCAGGACATGCTTGACCGGGATTCTCTCATCACAAGGGATACAAAATGGAGGATCCTAACCTTTCAATAAATGTTCATGTGTATATCTCGAGTGGCCAATACGACATCGCCGCATTACGACCTCTTCAAATCTGGACTGACAAGCCAAATAGCACACCCATGAAGCAACAAATATACCAGATACTCTGTTGTTTGAACGAACACATTACTGTACAAGGATTGTAACATTTTACCCATTTTAGCATTCAAACCATGTTTGTACAATGGCTTCCATAGATGTCGTCAAGCCAGCTGATTTAATATGTTTCCAGACACTGATGCTTTCAAAAGGTTCTTGTGCTTGTGGATTCTAATATGTCAATTGTCAGTTTTTGCACATAACCATGACCTGTCACTATGTCCTTCACCTCACCAAGATTATCCTGAATACCCATTGGTTCAGAATTCAGTGACGAGAAATAGTCCCCCAGTTTTGTATATCAATAGGGTTGGGTAGTTGCGGTCGTCCAGCCATACGTTTTATGATGTCCCAGAAACGTTTAGAGTCTACCGCTGCTGCATTTTCTAGGTCACTCCTTTTACATTGTGCTAACTGGTCCTTCTTGATTCCACACAGTTATCTGTATTCATTGCAAACTTAATAAGGTATGAGTTATCTTTAGTTATTTCTGAACGCATTTACATAATGGCACCGTTCATGTTTTTTACAGAGACATTCATCATCATCGGGGAACATGTCACTCGATGCCAAACCATAATCTATCACACTACACCCTAAATGCCCAATAGGAGGCACGGGTGGTCCAGTCGTCTTAGGCGCCGCGATTCGCTTTGCAGAGTTGCGTCCCTTGGGTACGCCAGAAACCTATGATTGTAGGTTCGAATCCCGGTTCGCCTCGATTATGTTGCTAGGTTTGTCAGCACCATACCCGTGCTCGTGGGTTTCACCGAAGTGGTAAACGTCTGAGACCTGCATCACTTCGGGTTTTCCTCCCACATTAAACTGACATTAAGCCGTGATATAAATAGAATACTGTTAAAAATGACGTTAAACCCAACTCACTCACTCACTAAATGCCCAATAAATGTTCAGTCACCGATTTGATAGTCAGTTCCAAATCTTCCATTCACAATATGTATGTTCAGAATTGAACACATTTCCAAAAGAGTTTTTCAAAAGTAAATTATCACATGAATATCTTTCCATCTCAAATTGTGTAAAAACATCTATTAAGTAATTATTACTTTCAACATGGTGAATAACATCGTTCTCCACATAGTCCCGCGTCACACC